ATTCTTGCTTCATTCCACTGTATTAGACAACAAACTCTATAATTTCAATGCTTTAAAATTTATTGAAACTTGCTTTATGACCCAGTATATGGTCAATTTCAAAAGGATGGGTATTCTGCAGTGGTTAGGTGCAGCATTCAATGCATGTTGATGTTTTATTAATAATTTGTAGAAATATTCTACATTCTTACAGACTTTTTTACTTGTTCTATCAGTTGCTGAAGGAGGTATGTTTAAATCCCCCACCATGATTGTAGATTGCCTATTTCTCCTTATATATCTGTCAATTTTTATTTATGTACTTTGAGGCTTTCTGGAGAATTGATCTTTTATTGTTATAAAATTTCCTACTAGCAATATTTTTTGCCTTAAAGTCTACTTGACAGATATTATTACAACAGTAACAGCTTTCTTTCAGTGTTGAATGGTATCTCTCTCTTCCATCCTTTCACACTCAATCACTTTAATCATCTTTTATGTGTGTCTCTTATAAGCAGCATACAGTTTTTTTTCATTCCAGTGTGACAGTCTTGTCTCTTAATTAGAGTATTTACTCCATTTATATTCAGTGTTATTATGGAACCACTTGGTTTACATCTACCATATTACTACCTGCTTTCTACTATTTCACCTGTTCTATTTTTTTTTTTCTATTCTTGACTTTTTTGGATTAAGTAAATATTTGCCAGTTAATTGTGTTTATACTAAAGCTTAATAATTATATACTCTCTTATTACTATTTTCATGCTAGCCCTAAAAATTATAGCATTCATCCTTGATTTGTTAGAGTATATTATTTAAAAAAATACTTTAACATCTACCCAGATAATACAAGTGTCCTACGATACTTGAACTCCATTTTGTCACGGCCTTATCTGGGATTGTTACATATTTTAATTCTATTCATCTTAAATCCTGAAAGATATTAATATTTTATGCAATGAATATCTAGCTATGTTTTTCCACACATATGCTCTTTCTGTTGTTCTTATTCTTTCTTGCTTCTCTGTTCTTCCAAGTAGGATCATCCTTTAATATTTTCTTTAAGGCAGGTCTCTGGTGATTAGCTCTGTTTTTGTTTGCTTGACAATAGCTTTGCGTGTTTTCTTTTTGGTGGTTTACTGTTAGTATAGAACTTATTTTTCTTCAGAAAGATGTATGTAACATTTCATTGTCTTTTAGCTCCCATTGTTTCTTTTGAAAAAGACAGATATCAATCTTATTGTTGCTCCTTTGAAGGTAATACATGTGTTTCTCTGGCTGCTCTTAAGATTTCCTCATTGCCTCAAATGTTCAGCAGTTTTAGTATCCTGTGTCTTGCTTTAGTTTTCTTTTATATCTCTAACTTGGAGTTTACAATATCCTTTTAAACCTGTGCCTTCACATCTTTCATCAGTCTTACAAAATTCTGTCATTTAATTCTTAAAATACTGTATTTCCCTTTAAATCTAAATGTAGGCCCCACAAAATTGTCACAATCTTGATAGTTCTGTGATACTTTCAAACACACACACACACACACACACAGTTTTCTAGTTGTATTCAGTTAGTCTGAAACAAACTAATAAACAATTGTACAAAGCAGTCTTTAAAAATCAAACCATATTAGATCACTCTCTTACCAAAAAATATCGTCTAGTCTCATCATACCTAAAATAAAATGCACAAATGTCACTTGATTTAGAAAATCATCATTATCTGACCCCATCTGTATCTTTGACTTTATCTTGTATTACTTCTGCTTTGTCTAGAATTTTCTGAGTTGGTATTTTTCTATATCACTAACATGCCAAGCTGATTTTCATCTCAGAATCTTTGTACTGTTCACTTTGCTAAAATTCTCCAATTAATTAACCAGGGTACTTCCTTCTTATTTTTCCATTTTAAGCTCAAATGTCCCCTCTATCACAATATAGTCTTTAATTAACCTAAAGTACCCAAAGATATTCTACATAATATCACTCTTATTTTAATCCTGTATGTATCACTTATCAATATCTAATTGTTGAATTCATTTATTTGTTTGTTTATTGTCTTCACAAAAGTAGGCAGGTACCTCATCTATCTTGTTCACTACTATAGCTCTAAAGCATGAAATGGTGCCTAACCCTTTAGCAGCTGTTCAATATTTGTTAAATGAATGAATGAATGAATGTAGAGCTCAGGGAAAAGGTTATGCCTGGAGGTATCAATTTTGAAGTCATCAGATAGATGGTATCTGAAGTCATGAGATCCAATGAGATTGCCTCAGAAAGGTGTGGAGATTTTTTTTTAAAGAAGGTGTAAGGCACAGCCATAGATATTTCCAACCATTTAAGATTGAGCAGAAGAGAGGTTAGCAAAAATTACTGAGAGAGAGCAGCATTCAATAGGTAAGAGGAACATCAGAAGAATATGGTGTCATGAGATCCAAGAAACAAAAAGATTCCCTTAAGAAAGGAATGGTTAATTCTACTTCACATACCAAGAAATTTAGTAAGATGATGATGGTGAGGGTGATAATGGAGAAATGACAGTGTATTCAGCAACTTGGAGGACACACATGATTTGACACAAAGCAGTTTCAGTAGAGTTTTGGTGATAGAAAATTGAGAAAAGCAGGTTAAAAAGAAAACAGATGACATTTTAAGAGAGAAAGCAGAGAAAACTTCTCCAAGACGCCTGTGAAATAAAGCAGTTATTAGGTTAGTAAGATGTTGGGAGAAATATTGAGGTGGGAGGAATACTAGATCAAGGGAAGGGTTTTAAGGTGGAAATACTCCATTATATTTCTGTGATGATAAAAATAAACTAGTAGAGAAGGCAACAGAGTGGAGGTAGGGAAAAGGGACTAAGTCTAGGGATATTTTGAAAGTAGAATCAATAAAACATGTTGAAATAGATATAGGATGTAAGAAGAGGAGAATCAGAACTAATTTTCAGGTTTGTGACTTGAGCAATCAGGAAGACAGGAATAACTGGGGAGCTGAACGAGGAGACTAAGAAAAAAGTGGTCACTGAGGTTGCAGAAGAAACTTGAGAGAGCAGGGTCTCTGAAGAAGGATGCAGCCAGTTGCATCAAATGCTGCTGATACGTCAAGTAATATGTAAAATTAAAATGGATATGTGGATTTGGAAAGATGAAGGATATTTTTTACTTGGTGAGAGTTTTAATACATTTTTAAGAGAGAAAAATACTTTGAGTAAAGGAAAACAAGAATGAGGAAATAAAGACAGAATGTATAAACATATCTTTTAAGGAATTTTACTATAAAAGGGAACAGATAAATCAGACGGTACCTAAGGCAGATGTGAGATTGGGGGTGGGTGAGATGGGAAGGTACGTGTTAGATAAGAGATATTTCAGCATGAATATATGCTGAAGGGAACGATCCAGTCGATGAAGAAGAATTAATGATGCAGAAGAGACACGAGGCAACTGTAAAAGCAACATGTTTGGATAAACAAGAGAGAGTGGGGCTCAGTCCCAAAGTAAAGGAGAGGAGCCCAGACAGTTCATTCACCCTAAATGAAGTGAAGGCAAGGTACATGGATATAAATGTAGTAGGTTGGGAGATCAGATATTGAGAGAATGAGGAAACTCTTTTCCAATGGCTTCGAAGTTCTCAGGAATAAAAATCAAGAACATCTTCTGAGATAAAGGAAAGGAGTAAGTTGGAGGTTTGGCCAGTGGAAATGAGTGGGACAAGTGGATGTATACAAGGAGCATTCAGGGAGATTAACCATTACGTCTAACCATGATAAAAAGGGAAGTGAATATATAAAGCGGTAACTATATCCTTGAGACTGAGATTTTGCATATGGCACAAGTAAAGATAAGTGCAGGGTCTAGAATATCACCATAAATAAGTCTGGCTGAAATTAATCATACATTTTAGAAGGGGTTTTGTTAGAAGCATATAACTATAATCTTTTAAATTCAAACTTTACAATCTATATTTAAACTGGCAAGATCTGGTCTATTTTACATGTATTATAATTAGTAATAAAATTATATGTAATTCTACTAATTTATTTTATGCTTTCTGTTTACCCTTCTTTTTCTATGCTTCTATTTTCTTCTTTCCCAGCTTCTATTTAATTATTGAACTTTCTTAATTCCCACTTTTCATCTGGTAAATTCTATTCCTTTAGTAAATACCCATAAACTTACCAAAATACATATATGACTTAACCACAGAAAATTCATTAATATTTAGTTCCTCATACCAAAAAACCCAAGGTCCAAAAATGGTTTGGTTCTGACTACTACAATAATGTCCTTAACATTACTGTCTTCTATAATTATAGTTTCACCTGTTTTGTAAGTCCTAATAAAGTATTATAATTCTTTATACAATACATGCTTACATTTATTGCCATGCTTACTAATTTCTTCACCAATGAGATAAACTGAACATTCCTTAAATGGCAAATGAAACCCAGTTAGAAAATTTTTCTCTTCAAATATAGAAGAGCTATTAAATACATCTTATCCAATTAAATATTAGAAACTTCATGACATGTTTTTAAAAAGAAACAAATTGAATAAATATTCATTGAGAATCTTGCCATATGGCTAACTGGCTTTCAGAGAATTGTTTCTTAGCAAATGAATCATTTATTAAGTTGGCTTTTGGAGAATAAATTTTCAGTAAATTTGTATAAGTAAATTTTACTGCTTAAAACAAGTCAGGTTTTCTAAATTCTTATTATGAGCAGTGGCAAAATCAGCAAGAGAAATAATCTTATGTAGAGCACACTGAGGTCTGTGAGACGACTTAAGTACAGCTGTAAGAGGGCATCAGGCCAAAAAAAATTGGCAATTTTACTTAAGTAACTAAAACTCTATGCATTTTCTTTATGTAGTTGGTAAAGAGAAATTTCTCATGGCCATCTCTGTTCTTAAAGATGGATTACTTAGGGGAAAATATAGGCTTAAAGTGTGGGAAATGATTATAATAATATGACCTAGAAAAAACATACCAAAAAAACACATTTCATTTCTTCCTTCTAGGTTCACATATATTGCCAAAATATGTCCACTCTCCTGGAAAACATCGTTGGCATCATTAATCTTTTCATGCAATATTCAAAAAAAGATAAAAGCACTGAAACACTGAGCAGAAAAGAGCTGAAGGAACTTCTGGATAAGGAGTTTCGGCCAATCCTGAAGGTAAGAGTTTCTGACAAGACCAAAGGAAAGAGCATTTCTGTTTCTCTTCAATAATCTAAGCAAAGGTTATATTGAGCTCTGTATAAACTACTTCTCTTAAAACAGGAACAGAGTTAGTCTTGTCCCAAAAAATATGAAATTTATTTTCCCCTCCTATACCTAAATATATATTATAATCATACAGACACACTAAGTAAAAAAAAAAAATATGACCATTTAATTTAAAAATTAATGTAAACTAGATCTTAGTATTTAGTATTTGTAATATTATCCAAAACATCAAAATTATTAAGAGGGTATATATTAAAGAAAACTATATAATGAATTATATATACCTCTGATTTTTAAAATAAGGAAACAAGGTACTTACCCCATCACATTTTGATAACTTACTAGTTTTTAAAACATCTCTATTCATATTTAACATCTGAGTGAGAATGAAATAAAAAAGATTTTAAAAAAAACCAAAAGACTTCATCCTACTTTTTGATATTCAGAGATCACATTTCCTAAATTAACATAGAATTAACTGGCTGATACTGTAACTTCTGATGCAATCTCTCTCTGTGAATTCCCTCTGTACAGAATCCAGATGACCCAGATACAGTTGAGGTCTTCATGGACAACCTGGATATAGATCACAACGAAAAAATTGACTTCACTGAGTTTCTTCTGTTGATATTCAAGTTGGCAAAAGCATATTATGAGTCGAACCGAAAACAGAACTTACCGACATCAGGACACAGGCACAAAAGGCACAGTCATCATGATAAACATGAACATGACAAAGAGGAAGAAAAAAAAGAAAAGAAAACCAGACACTCAAGTCTGGAAAAAAGAAACAACAGAAAAGAAAATAGGGAAAGATCCAAGAGCCCAAGAGAAAAAGGGAGAAAAAGACATGAATCACAGCCTGAGAAAAGAGGAAGAAAAGAATATTCACCGACTCAGAGAGAAGAGGAACAAAATAGAAAAGCACACCATGAGCTAAGCAATAAGAAGAGAAACAAGACCGACAATAGTGGATTAGAAGACAATGAAGAGAGACGAAGCGGAAGTCCCTACAGAAGAGAAGAGGAAAAGGAAGAAGAATTTGATTATGAAAATACAGGAAGGATGAAGGAAAAATGGAGAGAAAGCGGAGATATTGCAACATATTACAAAATCATAAATGAAGAGGATGAGACATATGATAACCAATTAGAAAAAAACACAAAATTTGATAGAGAAAGTACATCTTATCACCAATCATCATCTCAAAGAGAAAGGCCTAGATACAGAGATTCGAGCCATAAACAATCAGCAGAGGCCAGAAACAGTAGGCGCCAAGGACCCAGCATTAGCCAGGAGAGTGACAGCGAGGGACACTCAGAAGACTCCCAGAGGCGATCTGAGTCCGGTTCCAGAGACCATCATGGGTCCGCTCGGGAGAGGTTGAGAGATGGCTCCAGGCACCACGGGTCCCATCACGGAGACAGAGCCGGTCACGGGCACTCTGCAGAACCATCCGGACGATCAGGCGCCCGTCACGCAGAGACTTCCTCTCGTGGTCGGGCTGCGTCTTCCCAGCAGCAGGCAACATCAAGTCCAGGAGGAAGACACGGATCCCGCCACGAGCACTCAGCAGACAGCTCTGGACACTCGGGCACCGGCCGCGGACAGTCCTCATCTGCAGTCGGCCACCATGCACACACGGAGTCCAGTGGCAGTCAGGCCAGTGACAGCCAGGCGCATTCAGAAGACTCAGACTCACAGTCAGTGTCAGGCCACAGACAGGCTGGGCACAGTCAGCAGAGCCACCATGAGTCTGCATGGGGCCAGTCAGGGGAAAGGTCTGGACGTTCAGGCCCTTTCCTCTACCAGGTGACCACTCATGAGCAGTCCGAGTCCGCCCACGGACACTCCGGGCGTGGCACTGGAGGAAGACAAGGATCCCGCCACGAGCATGCCCGAGACAGCTCCAGGCACTCAGCGTCCCATGAGGGCCAGGACACCACTGGTGGACAGCCGGGGTCAAGCAGAGGAGGAAGGCAGGGATCCCACCACGAGCAGTCGGGAGACAGCTCCGGACACTCAGGGTCCCATCACCGCCACTCGGCTTCCCAGGGCAGGTCTGATGCTTCCCGTGGGCATTCTGGATCCCGAAGTGCAAGCCGACAAACACGTACCCAGGAACGGTCAGGAGATGGCTTCGGGCACTCAGGGTCGCATCACCACGAGGCTTCCACTCGGGCAGACAGCTCCAGACACTCACAGTCGGGCCAGGAACCATCAGTGGGCTCCAGGGCCAGCAGGCGCCGGGGATCCAGCGTTAGCCAGGAGAGTGACAGCGAGGGACACTCAGAAGACTCCCAGAGGTGGTCTGGGTCTGGTTCCAGAGAACATCATGGGTCCGCTCGGGAGCAGTCGAGAGATGGCTCCAGGCACCGCGGGTCCCATCACGGAGACAGAGCCGGTCACGGGCACTCTGCAGAACCATCCGGACGATCAGGCGCCCGTCACGCAGAGACTTCCTCTCGTGGTCGGGCTGCGTCTTCCCAGCAGCAGGCAACATCAAGTCCAGGAGGAAGACACGGATCCCGCCACGAGCACTCAGCAGACAGCTCTGGACACTCGGGCACCGGCCGCGGACAGTCCTCATCTGCAGTCGGCCACCATGCACACACGGAGTCCAGTGGCAGTCAGGCCAGTGACAGCCAGGCGCATTCAGAAGACTCAGACTCACAGTCAGTGTCAGGCCACAGACAGGCTGGGCACAGTCAGCAGAGCCACCATGAGTCCGCACGGGGCCAGTCAGGGGAAAGGTCTGGACGTTCAGGCCCTTTCCTCTACCAGGTGACCACTCATGAGCAGTCCGAGTCCGCCCACGGACACTCCGGGCGTGGCACTGGAGGAAGACAAGGATCCCGCCACGAGCATGCCCGAGACGGCTCCAGGCACTCAGCGTCCCATGAGGGCCAGGACACCACTGGTGGACAGCCGGAGTCAAGCAGAGAAGGAAGGCAGGGATCCCACCACGAGCAGTGGGGAGACAGCTCCGGACACTCAGGGTCCCATCACCGCCACACGACTTCCCAGGGCAGGTCTGATGCTTCCCGTGGGCATTCTGGATCCCGAAGTGCAAGCCGACAAACACGTACCCAGGAACGGTCAGGAGATGGCTCCGGGCACTCAGGGTCGCATCACCACGAGGCTTCTACTCGGGCAGACAGCTCCAGACACTCACAGTCGGGCCAGGAACCATCAGTGGGCTCCAGGGCCAGCAGGCGCCGGGGATCCAGCGTTAGCCAGGAGAGTGACAGCGAGGGACACTCAGAAGACTCCCAGAGGTGGTCTGGGTCTGGTTCCAGAGAACATCATGGGTCCGCTCGGGAGCAGTCGAGAGATGGCTCCAGGCACCGCGGGTCCCATCACGGAGACAGAGCCGGTCACGGGCACTCTGCAGAACCATCCGGACGATCAGGCGCCCGTCACGCAGAGACTTCCTCTCGTGGTCGGGCTGCGTCTTCCCAGCAGCAGGCAACATCAAGTCCAGGAGGAAGACACGGATCCCGCCACGAGCACTCAGCAGACAGCTCTGGACACTCGGGCACCGGCCGTGGACAGTCCTCATCTGCAGTCGGCCACCATGCACACACGGAGTCCAGTGGCAGTCAGGCCAGTGACAGCCAGGCGCATTCAGAAGACTCAGACTCACAGTCAGTGTCAGGCCACAGACAGGCTGGGCACAGTCAGCAGAGCCACCATGAGTCCGTACGGGGCCAGTCAGGGGAAAGGTCTGGACGTTCAGGCCCTTTCCTCTACCAGGTGACCACTCATGAGCAGTCCGAGTCCGCCCATGGACACTCTGGGCGTGGCACTGGAGGAAGACAAGGATCCCGCCACGAGCATTCCCGAGACGGCTCCAGGCACTCAGCGTCCCATGAGGGCCAGGACACCACTGGTGGACAGCCGGGGTCAAGCAGAGGAGGAAGGCAGGGATCCCACCACGAGCAGTCGGGAGACAGCTCCGGACACTCAGGGTCCCATCACCGCCACACGACTTCCCAGGGCAGGTCTGATGTTTCCCGTGGGCATTCTGGATCCCGAAGTGCAAGCCGACAAACACGTACCCAGGAACGGTCAGGAGACGGCTTCGGGCACTCAGGGTCGCATCACCACGAGGCTTCCACTCAGGCAGACAGCTCCAGACACTCACAGTCGGGCCAGGAACCATCAGTGGGCTCCAGGGCCAGCAGGCGCCGGGGATCCAGCGTTAGCCAGGAGAGTGACAGCGAGGGACAGTCAGAAGACTCCCAGAGGTGGTCTGGGTCTGGTTCCAGAGAACATCATGGGTCCGCTCGGGAGCAGTCGAGAGATGGCTCCAGGCACCGCGGGTCCCATCACGGAGACAGAGCCGGTCACGGGCATTCTGCAGAACCATCCGGACGATCAGACGCCCGTCACGCAGAGACTTCCTCTCGTGGTCGGGCTGAGTCTTCCCAGCAGGAGGCAACATCAAGTCCAGGAGGAAGACACGGATCCCGCCACGAGCACTCAGCAGACAGCTCTGGACACTCAGGCACCGGCCGCGGACAGTCGTCATCTGCAGTCGGCCACCATGCACACGCGGAGTCCAGTGGCAGTCAGGCAAGTGACAGCCAGGCGCATTCAGAAGACTCAGACTCACAGTCAGTGTCAGGCCACAGACAGGCTGGGCACAGTCAGCAGAGCCACCATGAGTCCGCACGGGGCCAGTCAGGGGAAAGGTCTGGACGTTCAGGCCCTTTCCTCTACCAGGTGACCACTCATGAGCAGTCCGAGTCCGCCCACGGACACTCCGGGCGTGGCACTGGAGGAAGACAAGGATCCCGCCACGAGCATGCCCGAGACGGCTCCAGGCACTCAGCGTCCCATGAGGGCCAGGACACCACTGGTGGACAGCCGGGGTCAAGCAGAGGAGGAAGGCAGGGATCCCACCACGAGCAGTCGGGAGACAGCTCCGGACACTCAGGGTCCCATCACCGCCACACGACTTCCCAGGGCAGGTCTGATGCTTCCCGTGGGCATTCTGGATCCCGAAGTGCAAGCCGACAAACACGTACCCAGGAACGGTCAGGAGACGGCTTCGGGCACTCAGGGTCGCATCACCACGAGGCTTCCTACTCGGCAGACAGCTCCAGACACTCACAGTCGGGCCAGGAACCATCAGTGGGCTCCAGGGCCAGCAGGCGCCGGGGATCCAGCGTTAGCCAGGAGAGTGACAGCGAGGGACACGTCAGAAGACTCCCAGAGGTGGTCTGGGTCTGGTTCCAGAGAACATCATGGGTCCGCTCGGGAGCAGTCGAGAGATGGCTCCAGGCACCGCGGGTCCCATCACGGAGACAGAGCCGGTCACGGGCACTCTGCAGAACCATCCGGACGATCAGGCGCCCGTCACGCAGAGACTTCCTCTCGTGGTCGGGCTGCGTCTTCCCAGCAGCAGGCAACATCAAGTCCAGGAGGAAGACACGGATCCCGCCACGAGCACTCAGCAGACAGCTCTGGACACTCGGGCACCGGCCGCGGACAGTCCTCATCTGCAGTCGCCACCATGCACACGCGGAGTCCAGTGGCAGTCAGGCCAGTGACAGCCAGGCGCATTCAGAAGACTCAGACTCACAGTCAGTGTCAGGCCACAGACAGGCTGGGCACAGTCAGCAGAGCCACCATGAGTCCGCACGGGGCCAGTCAGGGGAAAGGTCTGGACGTTCAGGCCCTTTCCTCTACCAGGTGACCACTCATGAGCAGTCCGAGTCCGCCCACTGGACACTCTGGGCGTGGCACTGGAGGAAGACAAGGATCCCGCCACGAGCATTCCCGAGACGGCTCCAGGCACTCAGCGTCCCATGAGGGCCAGGACACCACTGGTGGACAGCCGGGGTCAAGCAGAGGAGGAAGGCAGGGATCCCACCACGAGCAGTCGGGAGACAGCTCCGGACACTCAGGGTCCCATCACCGCCACTCGGCTTCCCAGGGCAGGTCTGATGCTTCCCGTGGGCATTCTGGATCCCGAAGTGCAAGCCGACAAACACGTACCCAGGAACGGTCAGGAGATGGCTTCGGGCACTCAGGGTCGCATCACCACGAGGCTTCCACTCGGACAGACAGCTCCAGACACTCACAGTCGGGCCAGGAACCATCAGTGGGCTCCAGGGCCAGCAGGCGCCGGGGATCCAGCGTTAGCCAGGAGAGTGACAGCGAGGGACAGTCAGAAGACTCCCAGAGGTGGTCTGGGTCTGGTTCCAGAGAACATCATGGGTCCGCTCGGGAGCAGTCGAGAGATGGCTCCAGGCACCGCGGGTCCCATCACGGAGACAGAGCCGGTCACGGGCACTTCTGCAGAACCATCCGGACGATCAGGCGCCCGTCACGCAGAGACTTCCTCTCGTGGTCGGGCTGCGTCTTCCCAGCAGCAGGCAACATCAAGTCCAGGAGGAAGACACGGATCCCGCCACGAGCACTCAGCAGACAGCTCTGGACACTCGGGCACCGGCCGCGGACAGTCCTCATCTGCAGTCGGCCACCATGCACACACGGAGTCCAGTGGCAGTCAGGCCAGTGACAGCCAGGCGCATTCAGAAGACTCAGACTCACAGTCAGTGTCAGGCCACAGACAGGCTGGGCACAGTCAGCAGAGCCACCATGAGTCCGCACGGGGCCAGTCAGGGGAAAGGTCTGGACGTTCAGGCCCTTTCCTCTACCAGGTGACCACTCATGAGCAGTCCGAGTCCGCCCACGGACACTCCGGGCGTGGCACTGGAGGAAGACAAGGATCCCGCCATGAGCATGCCCGAGACGGCTCCAGGCACTCAGCGTCCCATGAGGGCCAGGACACCACTGGTGGACAGCCGGGGTCAAGCAGAGAAGGAAGGCAGGGATCCCACCACGAGCAGTCGGGAGACAGCTCCGGACACTCAGGGTCCCATCACCGCCACACGGTTTCCCAGGGCAGGTCTGATGCTTCCCGTGGGCATTCTGGATCCCGAAGTGCAAGCCGACAAACACGTACCCAGGAACGGTCAGGAGATGGCTTCGGGCACTCAGGGTCGCATCACCACGAGGCTTCCACTCGGGCAGACAGCTCCAGACACTCACAGTCGGGCCAGGAACCATCAGTGGGCTCCAGGGCCAGCAGGCGCCGGGGATCCAGCGTTAGCCAGGAGAGTGACAGCGAGGGACACTCAGAAGACTCCCAGAGGTGGTCTGGGTCTGGTTCCAGAGAACATCATGGGTCCGCTCGGGAGCAGTCGAGAGATGGCTCCAGGCACCGCGGGTCCCATCACGGAGACAGAGCCGGTCACGGGCACTCTGCAGAACCATCCGGACGATCAGGCGCCCGTCACGCAGAGACTTCCTCTCGTGGTCGGGTTGCGTCTTCCCAGCAGCAGGCAACATCAAGTCCAGGAGGAAGACACGGATCCCGCCACGAGCACTCAGTAGACAGCTCTGGACACTCGGGCACCGGCCGCGGACAGTCGTCATTTGCAGTCGGCCACCATGCACACGCAGAGTCCAGTGGCAGTCAGGCCACTGACAGCCAGGCGTATTCAGAAGACTCAGACTCACAGTCAGTGTCAGGCCACAGACAGGCTGGGCACAGTCAGCAGAGCCACCATGAGTCCGCACAGGGCCAGTCAGGGGAAAGGTCTGGACGTTCAGGCCCTTTCCTCTACCAGGTGACCACTCATGAGCAGTCCGAGTCCGCCCATGGACACTCCGGGCATGGAACTGGAGGAAGACAAGGATCCCGCCACGAGCATGCCCGAGACGGCTCCAGGCACTCAGCGTCCCATGAGGGCCAGGACACCACTGGTGGACAGCTGGGATCAAGCAGAGGAGGAAGGCAGGGATCCCACCACGAGCAGTCGGGAGACAGCTCCGGACACTCAGGGTCCCATCACCGCCACACGGTTTCCCAGGGCAGGTCTGATGCTTCCCGTGGGCATTCTGGATCCCGAAGTGCAAGCCGACAAACACGTACCCAGGAACGGTCAGGAGATGGCTTCGGGCACTCAGGGTCGCATCACCACGAGGCTTCCACTCGGGCAGACAGCTCCAGACACTCACAGTCGGGCCAGGAACCATCAGTGGGCTCCAGGGCCAGCAGGCGCCGGGGATCCAGCGTTAGCCAGGAGAGTGACAGCGAGGGACACTCAGAAGACTCCCAGAGGTGGTCTGGGTCTGGTTCCAGAGAACATCATGGGTCCGCTCGGGAGCAGTCGAGAGATGGCTCCAGGCACCGCGGGTCCCATCACGGAGACAGAGCCGGTCACGGGCACTCTGCAGAACCATCCGGACGATCAGGCGCCCGTCACGCAGAGACTTCCTCTCGTGGTCGGGTTGCGTCTTCCCAGCAGCAGGCAACATCAAGTCCAGGAGGAAGACACGGATCCCGCCACGAGCACTCAGTAGACAGCTCTGGACACTCGGGCACCGGCCGCGGACAGTCGTCATCTGCAGTCGGCCACCATGCACACGCAGAGTCCAGTGGCAGTCAGGCCACTGACAGCCAGGCGTATTCAGAAGACTCAGACTCGCAGTCAGTGTCAGGCCACAGACAGGCTGGGCACAGTCAGCAGAGCCACCATGAGTCCGCACAGGGCCAGTCAGGGGAAAGGTCTGGACGTTCAGGCCCTTTCCTCTACCAGGTGACCACTCATGAGCAGTCCGAGTCCGCCCACGGACACTCCGGGCGTGGCACTGGAGGAAGACAAGGATCCCGCCACGAGCATGCCCGAGACGGCTCCAGGCACTCAGCGTCCCATGAGGGCCAGGACACCACTGGTGGACAGCTGGGATCAAGCAGAGGAGGAAGGCAGGGATCCCACCACGAGCAGTCGGGAGACAGCTCCGGACACTCAGGGTCCCATCACCGCCACACGGTTTCCCAGGGCAGGTCTGATGCTTCCCGTGGGCATTCTGGATCCCGAAGTGCAAGCCGACAAACACGTACCCAGGAACGGTCAGGAGATGGCTTCGGGCACTCAGGGTCGCATCACCACGAGGCTTCCGCTCAGGCAGACAGCTCCAGACACTCACAGTCGGGCCAGGAATCATCAGTGGGCTCCAGGGCCAGCAGGCGCCGGGGATCCAGCGTTAGCCAGGAGAGTGACAGTGAGAGACACTCAGAAGACTCCCAGAGGTGGTCTGGGTCTGGTTCCAGAGAACATCATGGGTCCGCTCGGGAGCAGTCGAGAGATGGCTCCAGGCACCGCGGGTCCCATCACGGAGACAGAGCCGGTCATGGGCACTCTGCAGAACCATCCGGACGATCAGGCGCCCGTCACGCAGAGACTTCCTCTCGTGGTCGGGCTGCGTCTTCCCAGCAGCAGGCAACATCAAGTCCAGGAGGAAGACACGGATCCCGCCACGAGCACTCAGCAGACAGCTCTGGACACTCGGGCACCGGCCGTGGACAGTCCTCATCTGCAGTCCGCCACCATGCACACGCGGAGTCCAGTGGCAGTCAGGCCAGTGACAGCCAGGCGCATTCAGAAATCTCAGACTCACAGTCAGTGTCAGGCCACAGACAGGCTGGGCACAGTCAGCAGAGCCACCATGAGTCCGCACGGGGCCAGTCAGGGGAAAGGTCTGGACGTTCAGGCCCTTTCCTCTACCAGGAGACCACTCATGAGCAGGCCGAGTCCGCCCACGGACACTCCGGGCATGGCACTGGAGGAAGACAAGGATCCCGCCACGAGCATGCCCGAGACGGCTCCAGGCACTCAGCGTCCCATGAGGGCCAGGACACCACTGGTGGACAGCCGGGGTCAAGCAGAGGAGGAAGGCAGGGATCCCACCACGAGCAGTGGGGAGACAGCTCCGGACACTCAGGGTCCCATCACTGCCACACGGCTTCCCAGGGCAGGTCTGATGCTTCCCGTGGGCTTTCTGGATCCCGAAGTGCAAGCCAAGAAACACGTACCCAGGAACAGTCAGGAGACGGCTCCGGGCACTCAGGGTCGCATCACCACGAGGCTTCCACTTGGGCAGACAGCTCTAGACACTCACAGTGGGGCCAGGAACCATCAGCCGGCTCCAGGGCCAGCAGGCGCCGGGGATCCAGCGTTAGCCAGGAGAGTGACCTCGAGGGACACTCAGAAGACTCCCAGAGGCGGTCTGCGTCTGGTTCCAGAGACCATCATGGGTCCGCTCAGGAGCAGTCGAGAGATGGCTCCAGGCACCCTGAGTTCCAACAGGCCAATAGACGTGGTTATGGGTCCTCTTCCTCTGTGTTCTCAGACTCTAGTACCAGCAAGGAACATGTTCACTGTAGTAGTCTTTCCGAAGATTCTGAATATTGGTCAGGAATACAGCCACGTGGCAGTGATGACATTTCTTGTTCTCATACCTTTTATTCTGATACTACTGAAAGGCATGGAGGTCAATCAGGGTCAGTTTGGAGACATGGCAGCTATGGTAGTGCAGATTATGATTATGGTCAATCTGGGTTTAGTCACTCTCAGGATGGAAGTGTTCATTTCAATTCCAACCCGGAGGTTTTTAAGGAAAGATATAAAATCAGAAAAGCAAGTTCATTTGTTGAAGATCATCCAAGGTTTCATGCAACGTATATTAATAGGTACCCAGGTTTATATGGGCATTCAAGAGATACATCAAAGCAGCTGGGATTTAGTGAGTCACAGAGATACTATTTCTATGAGTAAGAAACAAATGGCAAAGGAATTTGTCCAAGAACAGAAGAACCAGGCAAAAACCCTTTCAATCTAGAAACTTCATAATACTTTCTGGGAGGCTATTTTTTTCCTGTCAATCTGTTTAAAATATTCTACAGTATTTCATTGGTTTGGTGGTCATTTATTTTTAGTATGTAGTCTTTAAACTTTATATTTTGGGAATTATAAATTTAAGAAATCAATATTATGGAGAGCTAACTTTAGAAAATACGAGTATTTTAGGAGATTGGGGGTCAAGTAATGTTTCATGTTTTTGAGAGTTTAAGTTTTAGATATTCTCCAAATTTCTAAATTAATTATTTTCCAGAAATATTGCAGATGCTAGAAATATGAAACTATTCTTTGGCATACCAAAGTGTGTATATCAACACTACGGCTTAGGACATCTTTCTCTCTTCTTTTTCTATTGGAATTCTATGATTCTGTATTCAAAAAAATAATCTTGGACAGAATTGGTGTTTGATTAAACTGCATTAAAATCAGAAATAAACTATTAATCATATAATACTGTTTGTCTCTGGTATGCTTATTTCTCATAAACCCAGGTGACATACTTCCCCATAACCAGAATGAGATGTTGTCTTCTGTATCCCTGTAAAGGTATATGACCATAGAGCAGATACAGTACATTTAAAACAGTGAGTAATAAATAATAAAATATTAACTTTAGTCAAAGACTATGTTTTTCTTCGACATAATCATTGTTCCCCCAATCACAGTCAGGAAAAAAACACACCTTGTTCACTCATGATTATCACTATTTTTAATACAAAATCATCAACTTAGGTGACTATTAAGCCATATCAAATAAAGATCAGGAAACTGAGTTCCTGAACATTCTTCCTTCTGCCACAGACACTAGGAGATGTTTTGCAGTGGAGACTAGATGGGGCAGAGGAGTTGTGCTCAAATATGCTGGCAAAGCAAAAGAAATTAAAAAGAAGTGTCCTCCTGGCCTAGAAGGAAAATACATGTATCTTTATGCTTTAACTAAGTAGATGAGGAGGCCGAAAAAGGAATAGCAAAAATATGAATGCAGTTCGACCATTAGATGAATATGTTTCTGTAAGAATCATACCCAAATTTTCATTCACATAATATCAGACTAGAAGTGACATGTAGGCCAGTGTGCACATTTTGCAGATGAGTCTATTATGCAAATAATCCATACCAAAGTAGCACTTAGATATAAAGTCTCCAAATCTGTAGTAATTTTATAAAAGCACTTCCAAGAAGCTGCCTTTATTGAACTTACACTTCAGTAAACCAAGATAAAGTGAAATGGATTGTCAAAGTTTCAATAATTCCCAATAGATGCAGGGACTGAATTAAAAAAAAAGCTCATTTTTCTAATTAGCCTTAAACAATATGCCTGTAATTGTTCTCTACATGCCAGCTTCCCTGCTTGAAATGTTGCCCCAAATGCCCCAAGAAAGCTGCAAACTCCGTAAGGTATCATATCTTCAGGACTCATTGCACTGCCACAGACACACATAGGGAGGATGCCTTTGTCCATTTCTCTGATACACTTTGCCACCTTGTCCCCAGTCTCACCACCAGCTTATGCAGCTCCCTCCTGTAGCCCATGTAAAGGAGCTAGGCATAACTAACAGGCTAAGGAAAAAAATTATAATGACTAGTCGAACTATTGTAGGGGTACTGATGAAGGACACACAGATGTTAAAATAGTGTTAGTGAGATGTGTGGACTACTGAATTCTCACACTTTCTGAAGGACTCATAAACAACTGAAACTGTTTTCTTTCATGGCCCTGTCCACTCAAAAATAAAAATACCAGACACTCCTTTTTGTTCTTTTTTTTTTTGAAACGGAGTTTCGCTCTTGCTACCCAGGCTGGAGTTCAATGGCGCGATCTTGGCTCACCGCTACCTCTGCCTCCTGGGTTCAGGCAATTCTCCTGCCTCAGGCTCCTGAGTAGCTGGGATTACAGGCATGCGCCACCATGCCCAGCTAATTTTTTGTATTTTTAGTAGAGATGGGGTTTCACCATGTAGACCAGTCCTTTTTGTTCTTTGAAAGGAAATCAATTTACCTTAAAAGATGCCAACAAGATTTACTTGAAACATCAATTTTTCTCTGTCCTCTCTCCTTCCTTTATAAAATTTGTTTTTTACCTTTTTCCTTAACTCGGTCAGCCAACTCTCTCATACATAAATCAACAATTTTTCTGCAAAATAACTACATGATTCTAAGTTCTTCCTTGGGATAATCTTTTTAAAAATTTTTGTGAGTACATAGTAGGTATACATATATTTTGGGGATACATGAGATATTTTGATACAGGCATGAAATGTATGATAATCATATGAAAAGAAATGAGGTTTCCACCACCTCAAGCACTTATCATCTATTGTGTTACATGCTTCCCAGCCTCTGGTGACCATCATTCTACTTTCTATCTCCATGAGTTCAATTGTTTTAATTTTTAGATCTCACAAATGAATAAAAACATGTGAAAATTGTCTTTTTCTGCCTGACTTATTTTATTTAATACAACCTAAAAGGGATGTGGAGGACCTCTTCAAGGAGAAATATACACCACTGCTCAAGGAAATAAGAGAGGACACACTATAAATGGAAAAACATTTCATGCTCATAAATAGGAAGAATCAAATTGTGAAAATGCCCATACTGCCCAAGGCAATGTATAGATCTAATGCTGTCCTCAGCGAGGTACCATGGACTTTCTTCACAGAATTAGAAGAAACTACTTTAAATTTCATATGGTATGAAAAAAGAGTCCATATAGACAAGAAATTTTAAGCGAAAAGAAAGCTGGAGGCATCACACTACCTGACTTTATGATACAAGGCTACAGTAACCAAGTAGCATGGTACTAGTACTGAAACACATCTATTGACCAATGGAACAGAATAAAGGCCTCAGAAATAACACCACACATCTACAACCATCTGGTCTTCGACAAACCTGACAAAAACAAGAAATGGTGCCAAGAACATACACTGGGGAAAGGAGAGTCTCTTCAATAAATGATGCTGGGAAAATTGGATATCCATATATAGGAAAACACAATTAGACCCTCATCTCTCACCACATACAAAAATAAAAAATGGATTAAACACTTCAAGACCTACAACTATGAAACTACTCAAAGAATACATTGGGGAAACTGTCTGGGATATTTTGAAAGATTTTTGGGCAAAGATTTCTCAAGTAATACCATAAGCACAAGCAACCAAAGCAAAAGTGAACACATGGGATTGCATCAAGTTAAAAAGCTTCTGCACCACAAAGGAAACAATCAACAAAGTGAAGAGACAACCCACAGAATGGGAGAAAATATTTGCAAACTCTCCATCTGATCAGGGATTAATAACTAGAATATGTAAGCAGCTCAACAACTCAATAGGAAAAAAACCTACTAATTAAAATATGGGCAAAAGATCTGAACAGGCATTTCTCAAAAGAAGACATACAAATGACAAACAGGTATATGAAAACGTGCTTACCATCATTGATTGTCAGATGCAAATCAAATGCAAATCAAAAATACAACAAAATGTTATCTTACTGAATTAAAACAGCTTTTATCCAAAGCTGGAAATAACAAACAAAAGGCAAGGATATAGAGAAAAGGGAACAGTAGTACACTGTTGGTGGGAATGTAGATTATAGCTACTGTGGTTGAAGTTTCCTTATAAAACTAAAAATGGAGCTACTATATGATCCAGCAATCCCACTGCTGGGTATATACCCAAAATAAAGGAAGTCAGTACATGGAAGAGATATCTGCATTCCTATGCTGATTGCAGCAGTATTCACAATAGCCAAATTTAGAAGCAACCCAAGTGTTCATTAGCAGATGAATGGATAAGGAATATGTACTTACATGCAATTGAGTGATAGAAAATAATCCTGTCATTTGCAGTTACATGGATGGCATTGGAGGACATCATATTAAATAAAATAAGTCATAAATAGCTCTTATTGTTTTGAGAAATGTTCCATGAATACCTAGTTTATTGAGAGTTTTTAGCAGGTTGTTCAGTTTACATGTAGTTGTGCAGTTTTGATTGAGTTTCTTAATCTCGAGTTCTAATTTAATTGCACTGTGATCTGACAGACTGTTATGATTTCCCTTCTTCTGGATTTTCTGAGGAGTATTTTTACTTCCAATTTTGTGGTCAGTTTTAGAATAAGTGGTATGTGTTGCTGAGAGGAATGCATACTCTGTTGATTTAAGGTGGAGAGTTCCATAGATGTCCACTAGGTCTGGAGCTGAGTTCCAGTCCTGAATATCCTTGCTAATTTTCTGTCTTGTTCATCAGTCTGATATTGACAGCTGGGTGTTAAAGTCTTCTACTATTGTTCTGTGGGAGTTCTCTTTGTAGGTCTCTGAGAACTTCCTTTATGAATGTGGGTGCTCCTGTATTGGTTGGGTGCATATATATTTAGGATAGTTAGCTCTTCTTATTGCATTGATCCCTTTACCATTATGTAATGCCCTTCTTTGTCTTTTTTGATCTTTGTTGGTTTAAAGTCTGTTTTATCTGAGACTAGGATTGCAACTCCTGCTTTTTTTATTTCCTTTCCATTTGCTTGGTAAATATTCCTCCATCTCTTAATTTTGAGTTTACATGTGTCTGCCCACAAGGTGGGTGCCCTGAATACAGCACACCAATAGGTCTTGACTTTGCAAGTCTGTGTCTATATATATCTATATACAGATATATCCAGATAGATTTCTTTTTTCTGGGATACATGTGCAGAACGTGTAGGTTTGTTACATAGGTATCTGTCTGTGTCTTTTAATTGGGGCATTTAGTCTATTTACATTAAGCCAACTGAATTTTGATGAAAACATCAAAAACATACATTGGGGAAAGGACAACCCCTTCAATAAATGGTACTTGAAAAAGTGGATATGCATATGCAGAAGAGTGAAACTGGACTTCTATGTTGTGCCATATAACAGAAATTAACTTAAGATGGATTAAAGACTTTAATGTAAGACCCAAAACTATAAAACTGCTAGAAGAAAACACATGGAAAAACCCTTCAGGACATTGATCTAGTCAAAGATTGTATGGCTAAGACTTCAAAAGCACAGACAACAAAAACAAAAATAGACAAATTGGACTGTGTAAAACTAAAAAGCTTCTGCACAACAAGGGAAATAATAGACAAAGTGAAGAGACAATCCATTGAATGAAAGAAAATATTTGCAAACTATTCATCCGATAATGGACTAATATCTAAAATATACCAAAAAACTCAAATGACTCAACATAAAAAATAGTCTCATTAAAAAGTAAGCAAAAGACATGAATGGGTATTTTTTTTTTTTTAATTTGGGCTCTGGGGTACATGTGCACATCCTGCATCCTGCAGAATTGTTGCATAAGTACATACATGCCTTGGCAGTTTGCTGTCTCCATCCTCCCACCCATCACCTACATCAGGCATTTCTCTGGGTGTTATCCCTCCCCATCCTCCCTGCACCCTGCTGTCCCTCCCCTCCCTTTCCCTTCACCCACCCAGTGAGTGTTGTTCCCTTCCCTGTGCCCAAGTGTTCCCATTGTTTATTACCTGCCTATGAGTGAAAACATGTGGTGTTTGGTTTCCTGTTCTTGTGTCAGTTTGCTGAGAATGACGGTTTCTAGCTTCATCTATGTCTCTACAAAGGACACAAACTCATCATTTTTTATGGCTGCATAGTATTCTACGGTGTATATGTGCCACACTTTCTTTGTCCATTCTATCTATCATGGGTGGGCATCTGAGTTGGTTCCAGGTCTTTTCTATAATAAACAGTGCTGCAAGGAACATATGTGTGCATGTGTCTTTATAATAGAACAATTTATAATCCTTTGGTTATATACCCAATAATGAGATTGCTGGGTCAAATGGAATTTCTATTTCTAGATCATTGAAGAATCACCACACTGCCTTCCATAATGGTTGAACTAATTTACCCTCCACCAACAGTGTAAAGTGTTCCTTTTTCTCTACATCCTCTCCAGCATCTGTTGTCTCCTGATTTTTTAATGATTGCCATTCTAACTGGCATGAGATAGAATCTCAGTGTGGTTTTGATTTGCATTTCGCTAATGACTAATGATGATGAGCATTTATTCATATGTTTGTTTGCCTCATGTATGTCTTCTTTTGAAAGGTGTCTGTTCATATACTTCACCCACTTTTGAATGGGTTTGTTTCATTCTTGTAAATCTGCTTTAGCACTTTGTAGATTCTGGATATTAGCCCTTTGTCAGATGGGTAGATTGCAAAATATTTTTCCCATTCTCTTGGTTGCTGGTTCAGTCTAATGATTGTTTCTTTGGCTGTGCAGAAGCTCTGAAGTTTAATTAGATCCGATTTGTCTATTTTGGTTTTTGTTGTCATTGCTTTTGGTGTTTTAGTCATGAAGTCCTTGCCTATGCCTATGTCCTGAATAGTGTTGCCTAGATTTTCTTCTAGAGTTTTTATGGTGTTAGTTCTAATGTTTAAATCTTTAATCTGTCTGGATTTAATTTTTGTATAAGGTGTAAGGAAGGGGTCCAGTTTCAGATTCCTGCATATGGCTAGCCAGTTTTTCCAACACCATTTATTAAACAGGGAAGCCTTTCCCCATTGCTTGTTTTCATCCAGTTGATCAGATGGTTTTAGATGTGTGGCATTGCTTCTGAGGTCTCTGTTCTGTTCCACTTGACTATATCTCTCTTTTGATACCAGAACCATGCTGATTTTATTAATGTAGCCTTATAGTATAGTTTGAAGACAGATAGCATGATGCCTCCAGCTTTGTTCTTTTTGTTTAGGATTGTCTTGGCTGTGTGGGCTCTCTTTTAGTTCCATGTGTAGTTTAAAGCATTTTTTTCCAGTTCTGTGAAGGTCAGTGGTAGCTTGATGGGAATAGCATTGAATCTATAAATTACTTTCTGCAGCATGGCCATTTTCACAATATTAATTCTCTACAAAGAGACAAAAATACCTAGGAATACAACTAACAAAGGATGTAAAAGACCTCTTCAAGGAGAACTACAAACCACTGATCAAGGAAATAAGAGAGGACACAAACAGATGGAAAAACATTCCATGCTCATGGTTGTGAAAGGGTATTTCTTAAAAGAAGACATACAAATGGCCAACAGGTATATGAGAAATGCTCAGCATCATTAATCATCAGGGAAATGCAACTCAAAACCGCAATGAGATATCATCTTACCCCAGTTAGAATGACAATTACTAAAAAGACAAAAAATAACAGATACTAGCAAGGATGAGAACAGGCAACTCTTCCACACTGTTGGTGAAAATGTAAATTAGTATAGCCACTATGGAAAAGAGTACAAGCATTTCTCAGAAAACTAAAGTAGAACTACCATATAATCCAGGAATCCCACTAGCATTATTCATAATAGCAAAGATATGGAACCAACCTAAGTGTCCACCAATGGACCAATGGATAAAGAAATTGCAGTATAGTTAATATTATGTGTCAGGTTTATTGAATTGAAGGATGCCTATGTGGCCAGGTGAAGCATTTTTTCTGGGTATGTCTGTGAGGGTGTTTCCAGAGGAGAATGACATGTGAGTCAGTAGACTGCGAGAGAAGACTTGCCTTTAATGTGGGCAGACAACATCCAATTGGCTGCTAGTGGGGCTAGAACAAAGCAGGCAGAAGAGGAGGATATTCAGCTTGCTTGGCTTCATCTTATTCTCTCTGTCAGAGCAAGTAACCTTTTTGCCTCCTGCATTTGGACATCAAACTTTAGGTTCTTCAGCCTTTGAAAACTCGATTTTGCATTAGCAGCTGCCTGGGGGCTCTCAGGCCTTTAACCTCAGGCTGGGAGCTGCACTGTCAGCTTCCCTGGTTTTGAGGCTTTTTGGAATTCAACTGTGCCATGCTGGCAGCTTTTCTCATTCCCGGGTTTGCCGATGGCCTATCATGGGACCTTGCCTTTGTAGTTGTATAAGGTAATTTTTCCTGATAAACATGTTTTTATATATATTTGTGTATATATACATGTATATATTAGATACATGCATATATACATTCAGAGTCTCTATTCTGTTCCATTGGTCTATGAGTCTGTTTTTATACCAGTGCCTTACTGTTTTGATTACTATAATAATATACATATATATTACTATATATACATATATGTGTGTGTATCTATATATACAAACACATGCATATATATGTATTATACTATTGATTCTGTTCCTCTGGAGAAACCTGACTTATAAATATACAAGGAATTACTATTCAGCTATAAAATTGAATGAAATAATGTCATTTGCAGCAAGATGGGGGGAAACAAACATCATTATGTTACATTAAATAAGCCAGACACAGAAAGACAAATATGAGTTCTCACTCATACGTAAGGCAGAAAAACATTGATTTCATGAAGATAGAGAGGAGAATGATAGATACTAGAGTCTCAGGAAAAAGTGTGGATGAGAGGGGGAATGGAGTGAGGTTGGCCAATGGGTATAAATATGTAGATATAAGGTATAAGTTCTAATGTTTGATAGCAGAGTAGGGTGATGATAGTTAGCAACAATGAATTAAATATCTTAAAGTAGCTAGAAGACAGAACTTGAAATGTCCCCAAAACATAGAAATAATAAATACTCAAGGTGATAGCTACCCCAAATACCCTGACTTGAAAATTACACATTTTATGCATGCAACAAAATATCATATGTACCCTATAAATATATATAATTTATATATAAATATATAAAATATTATGTCAATTTAATAAAACATAAAATTCCTAGGAATAAATTTAACCATAAATTCCTAGGAATAAATTTAATCAAAAAATGTATAAGGCCACAAGACCAAAAAGTATAAAATATTGTTAAAAGAAATTAAGAAGCACCAAATAAATGGAGAGATATACGATGCTTATGTATTAGAACAGTGGTTGGCAAATTATGGCCCAAAGGCCCATGCAGTTTGTTATCTGCTTTTGTAAATAAAATTGTATTAAAACAAAAAAAATTATAGTCATCGCCTATGCTATTACCAAAGCGACTTAGCTATAGGCAATAAGATTGTGGTTTAAAATTTAACAAATAATGTATCTATATCGTTTCATATGAAAATGAGTAACATAATCCCTAGCTATTTGTTGGGACATATTGTCATCGGTTTCTATTGCTCTTTCCCTTCAAAGACTTGATCCACTGTCACGTGAGGAAAAACTGGACAAAAAGTAGCAATACAAGACTGGGCTCTATGTATGTGCCAAACGCACTTCCACAAATCTTTAAATAGAAGCCTAGAAATAAGGCTTAGACTAATAAGAATCTAAATAATGCGGTTATCTGACTCCTGTTGCAATATTACCTCATGCTTTCATTAGAAGAAAAGTATTGAGCATTTAATTGTCGGATTCTAAACCAGATGAATATACAAAGATTGGAAAGACAGATATGTCCTTCAGAAGTTCACTGACCAGGGAGGAAAGATACAACAGTGTGACAAATAATCTTTTAAAACTATTATTAACATGCAGTGGTAATGTAAAGTATAGTGGTACCAGCTAACTGTGTTTAGTGATATGGAAGAGATGGCTCAAATAAACTTCTGAATTTAACAGACATGGGCACTGAAACTCTAGAAATGGCTGGAAATGTGCCAGCTTGATTTGAGATGGAAAGTATTTCAGGGGGATTAAACAACCTGTGCAAAATCCCAAAGGAAAATAAAGGTGGGCTCAAGAAACAGATAGTACAGTTCAGTATCGTCAAGATATATGGTGAGTGTGAGGGGCATGGCACAAAATTATTCTGAAAACATGGGAACCAGATCAAAAAGAGCCTTATAAGACACTCTAAAATTTTAGGTCTCTATCATCTGACAGTAGGGGAAAAGGGGTTTTAATCAGAAGTCACATAATAAATATTTTGGCAGCAAGAAAGAAAGGATATGAGACCAGAGGCAAGAAGACTAGCGAGGAGACCACTGTACTACCCAGGTAAACAGCAGAGCAGTATTTATCATTGTATTAGTTCGTTCTCATGTTGCTAATAAAGACATACCCCATGACTGGATAATTTACAAAGAAAAGAGGTTTAATTGACTCACAGTTCAGCATGGCTACTGAGGCCCAAGGAAATTTACAATCTTGATGGAAGGGGAAGCAAACACATTGTTTTCTTTGCTGCTGTCATGTCAAGAAGGATGTGTTTGCTGCCCCTTCTGCCATGATTGTAAGTTTCCTCATTGCCACTCCTGCACCCTGCCTTTTCTCTCCCCAGCCTGCACTGATGACCTCATGGGGAGTCCCCTATGATCAGTTGACAGAGAAAGAGAAGACTAGGGCCTGATTTTACAGATGGCTCTGCACAATATGCCAATATGCAGGTACCATCTGAAAGAGGGCAGCTGTTGCACTACAGCCCCTTTAGAAAGGGCTGTCCTAGAGGATGTCCTGAGGACAGTGGTGAGGAAAATCTTCCCAGTGGGCAGAACTTCAATGTACTTTGCTTGAAAAGACAATTTGCCAGATGTATGAATATATACTAATTCATGAACTATAGCCAATGGTTCGGCTGGATGGTCAGAGACTTAGAAGAGGCATGACTGGAAAATTGGTGACAAAAAATTTGAGGAAGAGGCATATAGATGGACCTCTCTGAGTGGTCAAAACTGCAAAGATATTTGTATTTAATGTGAGTGCTCACCAAAGGGTGACCTCAGCAGAGGAGGATTTTAACAATCAAGTGGATTGGATGAATCATTCTGTGGATACTACTCATCCTCTTTACCCAGCCACCCCTGTCATTGCCCAGTAGGCCCATGAACAATGCCCATGGTGGCAAGGATGGAGGTTACACGTGAGCTCAGCAACATGAACTTCCACTCGTCAAGGCTGATCTGGTTATGTCCTCTGCTGAGTGCCCAATTTGCCAGCAGCAATGTGCCAACACTGAGCCCTTGACATGGCATCATTCCTCAGGGTGATTAGTCAGCTACTTGGTGGCAGGTTGATTATACTGGGCCTCTTTCATCATGGAAAAGGAAGCAGTTTGTCCTCACCAGAACAGACACTGTGGATATGGGTTTGCCTGTCCTGCATGCGATGCTTCTGCCAAGACTACCATTCGTGGACTCACTGAATGCCTTATCCATCTTCATGGTATTCCATATAGCATTGCCTTTGACCAAGGCACTCACTTTACAGCTAAAGAAATGTGGCAGTGGGCTCATGCTCATGGAATTCACTGCTCTTACCATGTTTGCCATCATCCTGAAGCAGCTGGATTGACAGAATGGTGGAATGGCCTTTTAAATTCACAGTAGCTGACTCCGTTGCTATAGCAAACTCTGAATAAATAGCATCTGCTTATTTTCATTTGGTTGATCTTTAGTTTTAAAACTTGTTGGTTTCCTGCTGACATGTAAAAGTTCTGACTACCCTGCTAGAAAAATCATGTGGACAATCCCCGAATATATAGATAAGGGGAGATAGTCAAGCCCAGTCTTCTAGTCATCATGCCAGAGCTCTGACTATGTGAGTGGAGTTCAGCCTCGCCCATGGCTGAACATTACTGATTCCAGCCAAGTTTTACCCAGCTGAGCTATGCCCAAATTCTTAATCCATAGAATACTGAAATACAATAGAATGACTGGAGTTTCAAACCACTAAGTATCGGGATTGTTTGTTATACAGCAACCAAAACACCTCTCTTGGAGAGAAGAGACAAACACTATGGATTAGGAAGTCTATAGATAACACTGCTGTGTCTTCTGACCATCCTAGAACAGCTAAGAATGTTCAGGAGGCTAAAGTAGAAATTCCAACCCCTCTTCTCACTTCACCTTTTACAGTGAAAATAATGAGCAGTTTTTTACTGGAGGAAAGAAAAAAAGATACTGTGCAGATGACCTGGCTGGGAGACTTTGAGGGAAAAGTTAAGAGTGAAGTATATGAAGGATATTCCTCAAGTGGACAGCTCTAACACTACAGCCCCTTTCTAGGGCATCCTGAAGGACAGTGGTGAGGAAAGTCTTCCCAACCAAGACACATTACAAAACGTCCCTCTCTACAAAGTAGACAAAATAGAGTACAAACAAATCAAAATTTCACCAGTGACAGCCAAACCAGGAATGGGGTCAAACTCATATCATACATTTCTTTTTTTTTTAATTTTTTATTGCATTTTAGGTTTTGGGGTACATGTGCAGAACATGCAAGACAGTTGCATAGGTACACACATGGCAGTGTGTTTTGCTTCCTTTCTCCCCCTCACCCACATTTGGCATTTCTCCCCAGGCTATCCCTCCCCTACTCCCCCCACCACTGGCCCTCCCCTTTTCCCCCCAATAGACCCCAGTGTTTGATATTCCCCTCCCTGTGTCCATGTGTTCTCATTTTTCATCACCCACCTATGAGTGAGAATATGCGGTATTTCATCTTCTGTTCTTGTGTCAGTTTGCTGAGAATGATGTTCTCGAGATTCATCCATGCCCCTACAAACGACACAAACTCATCATTTCTGATTGCTGCATAATATTCCATGGTGTATATGTGCCACATTTTCCCAATCCAGTCTATCATCGATGGGCATTTGGGTTGATTCCAGGTCTTTGCTATTGTAAACAGTGCTGCAATGAACATTCGTGTGCATGTGTCCATACATTTCAAATACTTACAGCTAAAGAGAGAACTGTAGTATGTATCAAGTATTTGTTCAATGAATAAATAAATTCCAGTGTGGCAAAACTCAGATCTGCTTCTAAACATGCCTCCACAACTCCAAGGTACTACAAAGAAAAAGAAAGTAAACTGTAAGATCCTGAGACTCAAGTCCCAATTTGGAACAAAGTCAACTGGGGAATGAGTCAATAAAATCTTTGAGAATAAAGCTCCTAGATTTACCTCAGGACCCTGCAGAGCATAAAGTGCTTAAGAGCTTGCCATCACCTAGGGCACTGCACTGAATTCAAGTACTTATTTTATTTACTTAAACTGCAGCTATTTCCAAAGAGAATTTTAGCTAATTTCAAAATGCAACTTTACTCTTTGGCATGAGGAATTTTATAAGTACCTAAGCTTCTCTGGATGAATATAGTAGAAGAAAAATGAGAGAAAAATTATGATTAAACTGATACTGACCAAGCCCACCATTTCCTAAGCTAGGTAGAGTTCATACATTTATTTCATTTGAGATTCAGCTAAATGGTTGTTTTCATCTCTGAGCTAAAATTACTTGCTTTTTTGGGTATTTTAAATTAATTTTATAAAAGTTGGCCACAATTCTCCAAAAATTAAAAACTACAGGCCTAGATGTATAATTCTGGAATCTAAAACTGCTGCTGTACACCTTGTAGTATATTACACTATAACATTTTATATATGCCAAATATTCTACCGGGGATTTTACATGGACTAACTCATTTAATCTTCTAATAACATTCAGGTAAGTATTGTTATTATGCATATTTTGGAGATGAGGATATTAAAGCATAATAATTTTTCTTAATGGTACCAGATTTTATTCCCAGGCAGTAAAATGCCAAAGCTTCTATTCCTGTCCATTACACAATACTGCATCCTTACATGATAAATGGATAAGAAAGAAATTTCTAGTTAAGAACACAGACCATCTCCTATCTCCATTCTCTGGCCTCCTGGACCCAGAAACTCTTGAACTTATTGACATGCTCTCTGTTGTCATGAATTCAAATGACTGGATTTGCAAGAATATTAACAATGTTGATAAATAGTTAAAGGTTAAAATTAACAACACTGGATGAGTTCATGTCCTTTGCAGGGACATGGATAAAGCTGGAAACCATCATTCTCGGCAAACTGACATAAGAACAGAAAAACAAACACCAACACCACTTGTTCTCACTCATAAGTGGGTATTGAACAACGAGAACACATGGAAACAGGGAGGGGAACATCACACACTGGGGCCTGTCAGGGGGTGGGGGGCTAGGAGAGGAATAGCAGGGAGTGGGGGAATAGAGGTGGGATAGCATTAGGAGAAATACCCAATGTAGATGACGGGGTGATGGATGCAGCAAACCACCATGGCATGTGTATACCTATGTAACAAACCTTCACATTCTGCACATGTATCCCAGAATTTAAAGTATAATTTAAAAACTTAACAACACTGATAAATAACCAGTGGTTAATATTATGACTTACTGCTTCTCTGCCTGAGCTTCACACTTTCTATGTACTCATTTGGAAACATACCCAATAAGCTACTTGTCAATGACAAAACAAATATTCATTGTTATAATAAAATTTATTACTGAATTGTGATCAAAAGCTGCCGGCACACTAGGAAGAGAAGGGGACAGGCATGCATACACATGTTAACCAAAAGACACATACAACAACGTATAGAGCAGCACTATTTTTATTAATCAAAAACTGGAAATTACCCAAATAGCCATCACTAAGAGAAAGAACATCTCATTTGTTCCACATTCATATAATGTAATACCATAGAACAAAGAGTGAATAAACAGGGGCTACATGCATAAACATGGGTGTTATGTCAAGGAAGTTAGATATAAAATCATTATATGATTCCTTTTATATGAAGCCCAAAACAGGTCAAACTAATTTATGGTGTTAGAAGTCAAGATAATTATTACTATTTAAGAGAGTGGGGAGTGCCAGACAGGAAAAATAAGTGGGGGCTTCTGGGGGTGCTAGTAACATTATATTTTGTAATCTCAGAGTTGGTTACATGGATGGTTCAGTTTGAGACAATTCATCCATTTGTACACTTCTGATTTGTATACTTTTCTGTATATATACATATTTACATACATATATAAAGTATTATATTATTTCAATTAAAAACTCACAGAAAACAAAACAGACTAGGATGCAGACAATCAAAAGTAGAATACCTCATGCTTCTTCCCTGCTCTCCCTGTCTTACTGTCCATCCCCTCCAAAGGCTGACTTGTATTTTTCCCCATGCTTCCCTCTCCTATACATCCTCTAACCATTTGAGGACTCTTTGATGATTACTTCCTAATTCTGTCTTCAGTTCCACATGTCAAAATTAGGCTTCAGTGCCTTAAATGCTGAAGACCCCAAGATGCCAGAAAGTTTAGGGCACAAACTAACGGTCAATCCCGCAAGATCATGAAATAATTTTAGGAGTGAAAGAGAACAGTCCAGCATGGTGGGAAAGCTTAAGAGAAGAAAAGGCCTCTAGAAATTCAGCTTGGGAACTTTGACATCTAAAAGTTTTGGTAGAAAAGAAGAAGAGTGTAGCTAGAAAGAAAGAAATGAGAGAGTAGAGCCAGAGAGTGTAGCCAGAAAGAAAGGCAGATTAATGTTCAAGATACAGAGCAGGCTTCAATCCCTAGGCTCAAGCTAGCCAGAACCCTGGCCAAGTCCCTAACTATGCCTCCCAAATAAAATCACATTAAATATTAATATTTACAATGTGATGTTAGATAGAAGATTACACCACGTTTGAGGGGGAGTCAGCACAGAACATAGTACACCTGAAGTCAGCAGGGACAATAAGAGAAAGGGATGAATGCAATTTTTTGTTTGTTTTTAACATTTTAGAACACTATTTGTCCCCACTCCTATCCCTTTCCTCTAACTACTTTCTTCTTATAATGTTCCTGGATCTTTTGCTACTTTTTTTCCACTTTTCCAATAAGGTTCTCATTCGTAGGGTGTGAAAATACAGAGAAAATAAAAAAGTAAAAGACAATATTTGAATGAACTCTAAGTCACAATTTCCCTGAAGTTGTGCTTTATCCATAAGACATGAAAACCTACCATGATTTTCTGAAGTTTAGAAAGGAGATTATGCAGGACCAAGATCACACTGTACCCTATAGAACCCACAGCATTCTTCATGAGGTCTCCAAGGAGATAGCCACTAAGAGAAAAAAATCCTTGAAAAAGAAAAAGACATTTACATTCCCAGAAGCTCTCTTACTGGAAATACATACAAGCACAAAAGTTCACACAATTAATATAGCCAATAATAGGATAACAACTAAACTCCGATAATTATATAATAATAGCTATGAGTGTTAATGTAACTAAGATGTTACACAATGTGTCCTATAATTGACATAATTAGCTTACTTAATACTTCAACAGCCTTTAAAATAGGCATTATTATCCTTACTTTGATGATGAGGAAACAGCCTAAGAAAAGCTAAGTAATTACCCAAGGTCATACAACAGTAAATGGAAGAGCCAGGAAGCAAACTCAGAGCCAGACTCTGGCTGCAGGCTGGCCCGGACTATCCAAGAAGCATTCCGATATAATGACGGATTGCGTTAGATAAGTCAACCCAATCACGTATACTTACCTTAAAAGCTTTTTTCAAAAAATATATAAATTGCATAAGAAAAATACAAATATTAGTTGAAATGTACCCACAGTACAAATGAATTATGCATAATTCAGTGATAGTTATTTTAACTGGCAGGAGTACACTTTGCATGAGTACTGATGGGTTCCAACAGAGAAAGAGTAATAAGTGGGAAAAAGAGTTTCATTCCAGGTCATGTAGATCAAAAATTTTGAAGAAAGGGAGATAGCAAAACCCCCAAAACCCCTTAAAGATGCCCCAGAGGAGAAAAAAATTCAACCTGAAGCAGTCAAAACTCAAAAGGCATGTGTTCCACCTAATTTCACTCTTATGCTTACCACTGCTGGGAATGCCATTAAACATGTCTGATCAAGCCTTGGAGGAATTTGCCGCAAGTTGTTTGAGGAATCTTAAAATAGAGATGAATTCCTGGAAAACTACAGGAAATTGTAAGAGTAGTTCACACCAATAAAAGATTTAAAATGCTGATTGAGACACGTGGCCAGTCTTCACCACCACAAGATCAGCATTCACTGAGGAATCTATGGCTTCAGCATAAAAGTGCATCACTGCTGACACAAGTTCACACTCAAGGACTTCCAGAAGTACTTCAGTGATTATTCTAGTTATGTAGCGGTTCGCAGCCCAGGATACTTTTTTTATACAACTATTAAAGTTATTTCTTCTAGATTTTCCCACCATTTCAGTCCAGCCTATAAAACCTTCTTCATGCATCCTGAATCTCACCTATAACATATCTGCCATCAATTCACACCGTTATTCGAGTCACTGATTAAAATGGTGATCTACATATATTCAAAGGAATTGTCCTTCAACATAATAGCTAATTACCTTTCAAGCTGTTAGCCCCCATGAATCAGTAAGATTTGGAAGCCTATCCATTGTAAAAACAGAACCCAGGGTACCAGTCCCCTGAGGGCATTACTCATATGATACATTTCCAACTAGGTGGCTGAAGTAATAAAATGATAAAAGCCTCTGGAAAAGAGAAGAAATCAGGAGAGGTAAAGATGCTAATGCTGACAATGAAGCAAAAACATGGCTTTTCAACTATCATTTTTTAATGCTTCAGAGAGTATTTGATGCAGAACATTTCCCTTACTGAATTCCTTGACTAATAATAGATGTTCTTCAAAAGAAGAGTTCCCTGGTTAAAAGTATTTGGGAGGCTGGGCTCGGTGGCTCACTCCTGTAATCCCAGCTGAGGTGAGTGGATCACGAGGTCAAGAGATCAAGACCATCCTGGTCAACGTGGTGAAACCCCGTCTCTACTAAAAATACAAAAAATTAGCTGGGCATGGTGGTGCATGCCTGCAATCCCAGCTACTCAGGAGGCTGAGGCAGGAGAATTGCCTGAACCCAGGAGGTGGAGGTTGCGGTGAGCTGAGATCGCACCATTGCACTCCAGCCTGGGTAACGAGTGAAACCCCGTCTCAAATATATATATATATTTGGGAAACCTGGTTAGACACAGGGTCTTAAGTTCTACAGAGCTTCTCAGAGTCATCACCTTTAAGAGGTTAATGTACATTGTGGCTCCAAGAGGAGGATCATCTGTACCTTCCCTAAAGGTCCCAAACTACTAAAGATTATTGCTCACAAAATATTAATCATACCTACTGGCATAGAGATGGGGGCCAGGTGAAAGAGATGGTGGCCAACAGGCAAATGAACAAACAATTATAACATGATGTGACAGGAGCTATGGAAGGGCTCTACTTGAATGCAAGTAACTTCACTAGAAGGAATTGCTTAAGCTGCAGAGAATGCCACAGAAAGTATCATAAAGGAGATGAGATTTCCCACCAGATCTTATAGGATTTGTAAGAAAGCTTGTCTGGCAGAGAAGAAAAATGGCAGAGGAAATAGCATGTGCAACGACATTAATTAGATAAGAAATGATCAAGGATTGTTGTTAACATTCAAAGGAACAATCCCATAAAAGACAAATGGTAGTAGAAAAGACTCAAAAAGTGAACTTTCATGCCTGATTTTCAGGAGGCTTGCATGCCAAGGTAAGAAATTTGAAATTTATTCTAGACAAAGGAGAGCTTACCGGAGCTTTAAGGCAAGAAAATGACATGATAATATTTGTTTATAGAAAGATGAATCTTGCAGCAATGCAGAAGAAGGACTGATATGAACATATCATGATGGTAGAAAAAGACTAATTAGAAAAATTCTGGAAATCATCCAGATACAAGGTAGCCAGAGCCAGAATCAAACAAGCCATGCTTGGGACAGAGAGGAGGCTTAGACCCAGGAGATACATCTGCAGTGAAACTGACAAAATGTGGTCACGTGAGTGTGAGGATGAAGAAACGGGAGAAATAAAGAATGACTATAGAGTCCTTAGACTGAGACACAAAAGAATGTCACTGATATATGACAGAAGACAACAGAAGAAATATTATACATCTGGGGAAAGTATTATAATGGGATCAGTGTGAGATGATGGGGATATTTAAGTATCTAAGTATCCAAGTGGAGAGATTAAATATACAGTGAGACACAAATGACTAGACATGAAAAGTCCAGGGTTGAGAATCTCCTGCATAGTTACTGAGAATCTCTATAAGAGTCTCCTGCATAGAGTTAGAGGCATGACTGTAGGAGTAAACATATTCTGTCAAGGTTCACCAAGGCAGAGTATGCAGCATACATTTGATATTCTGGGATAAAAACCATGATAAAAAGAGAAAAGTAGACCTCACTTCTCAACTTGGCATAATCCACTGAATTTGCCCACCTCCAATATCCTCTCATTTCCATTTACAACAACATATCAAAGACCACAGGTAGCAGTTCATTATCTCCCAGGCATATTTCTATAATCATCAGATATGGAATTCACAGTAACAAACTACGTGAGATTAAATCCTAGCTGGGAATTTTCCAAAATTCTTCACCTATTTTGGATTTCAGATCTCTCTTACACATGCATATTCTACTACCTCAGCTCAAGGATAATTGCTCTTCAGCACATATGCCTCAAGCATTTGTTAGGTCAATATGGGAAATATAAGAAAGGATAAAAGATGACAGATGTACAAAAGGAGGCTATGATTTCCTTCTGTAAAATTTATGATAGCCAGGCCTAATGTCAACCTGAGCCTGCAAGCTGCTAATACAAGCAGAAATTAGTACTCGAAGAAGTTAGGAAATAAACAACAGAGAAAGAAGAGTGGAGATATGGGCGGATCAGAATATGATGAATCAGACCATTTCACAAAGGGTGGTTTCTCCTGAGCAGGGATCTTTAACAGGTATAAAAGGCCACTCTCCTGACCTTTAGTATCCTGCCACTGCTTCAATCAACATCCTACATGTATGTTGGTGAACTGAGTACGAGGGAATCCATCCAACTATTCCTACTTATTGTAAACCAAGGTGGAAATCTAGGGATGTACTCTGCAAAACACTACTGGATGCTTGGCTTTGTAAAAAAGTTATTTTAGGTCCCCTGTAACCATAAGATTCTCTAATAGAGAAGGAAATCGAAGACAGTAATGTGCCTTCTCTGAGATTACTCAGTACTCTTTGCATTGCTGCGTTGTACATCCCTGAGACATGGTGGGCTGAAAGAAATACAGCATTATTGATTGTCTCCATTACTTTTGGAGGGCTTTGTCTAAATATCATGCAGCTCTTACTGCAGATTGGATGAGTCATGCCTCTTGTTGAATCTATAGATGCAGAGAATGCTTATATCCTGCATCCTTTTAGATATATGATAATTTAGGCAGGATCAGTGAGGTAAGTTAGATCAGTATCAGCAGGATAGAATCTGATTTCAGGAAACCAGTCCTCTGATTCTCTATTCTCTGAATTCATGGTGGTTGAATTCTAATGGAATAATTCATCAATTAATTCATGTAATTGAGTCCTATCGCTAAGTAGGTACTTGGATACATAACACGGATACTAACATGAATAAGCTGTAATCACTGGTCTCACAAAGATCACTTTGTGATCTTTTGAGACGATTCCATAAAATGCCAACTGTAGTGCAGTACACTACATGCTATATGAGGAATGATGTGCTAGGCATGCAAAGAAAACAACACAAACAATGTGCTAAAGAAAAAGGAAGGAAGAATACTCTACACAGACAAAAACACTTACTTGTTTATCATGCAACAATAATCATTCATTCATGCAACAATAATTGATACGTGCCAGCCTGCCATGAGCAAGGCCCTAATCTAGATTCTGAGTTTACAGAGTGACAAAATTATCACTCTCAAAGAGCTTATATATTCTGGAGAAGACAGAAACTAATCCAATTTCAAATGGTAATAAAATGACATAAAGAAAATAAATGTACCAGAGATAGGAAGGAAAGTTACTCATAGGAGACATTATCTGAACAGAAACCAGACATACAGACACAAACTATGTGGAGAAAAAGACATCACCAAACAATTCAGAGCACAGGGTCCTTAGAAAAGAACAGGCAGAGGCCGGGCGCGGTGGCTCAAGCCTGTAATCCCAGCACTTTGGGAGGCCGAGACGGGTGGATCACGAGGTCAAGAGATCGAGACCATCCTGGTCAACATGGTGAAACGCCGTCTCTACTAAAAATACAAAAAAATTAGCTGGGCACGGTGGTGCGTGCCTGTAATCCCAGCTACTCAGGAGGCTGAGGCAGGAGAATTGCCTGAACCCAGGAGGCGGAGGTTGCGGTGAGCGGAGATTGCGCCATTGCACTCCAGCCTGGGTAACAAGAGTGAAACTCCATCTCAAAAAAAAAAAAGAACAGGCAGAATAGCCACCATATTTTTCTTAGCTGAAAGGTCAGTGAGTCCACAGCATAGTGAACAAGTAGAAGGGAGATACAAAATGACATCAGAGAGGCAGATGAGGGTCAAATCACAAAGATAATAATAGTAAAAAGTTTATCTACTATCCTAAGTATAATAAGAAGTTCTTACCTGTTTGAAGCAGGTAAATAACACTGATTTACATTTTTTAAACTTCATGCTGATTGCTGTGTGGATAGTAGATTGTGGCATGAAGAAAGAAGAAAGAGCAGAGACTAGTTGCAATAGTATAGCTGCAATGATGGTAACATGAACTAGATTATTAGCAGTAAAGATGGAAATAAAAATGGATTAAGAGGCCGAGCATGATGGCACATGCCTGTAATGCCAGAACTTTTGGAGGCCAAGGTGGGTGGATCACAAGGTCAGGAGTTCCAGACCAGTCTGGCTAACATGGTGAAATCCCATCTCTACTAAAAATACAAAAATTAGTAGGGCATGGTGGCAGGCACCAGTAGTCCCAGCTACTCAGGAGGCTGAGGCAGGAAAATTGCTTGAACTTGGGAGGCCGAGGTTGCAATGAGCCAAGACTGTACCATTGCATTCTAGCCTGGGTGACAGAGCAAGACTCATCAAAAACAAAACAAAACAAAGCCAAAAAATGAATTTAGAATATTTGAAGCTGAGTGTGGTGGGTCATGCCTATAATTCCAGCACTTTGGGAGGCCAAGGTGGGTGGATGGCCTGAGCTTAGCAGTTCAAAACCAGCCTGGGATATATGGCAAAGCCCCATCTCTGTCAAAAATATAAAAATTAGCCAGGCATGGTGGTGTGCACCTGTGGTTCCAGCTACTTGGGAGACTGAGGTGGGAGGATCACTTGAGCCTGGAAAGCAAAGTTTACAATGAGCCAAGATCATGCCACTGCACTTCAACCTTCATGACAGTGTGAGACCCTGTCTCAAAAAGAAAAAAAAATTTTTTTGAGAGAAAACTGGTAGGGTTTGCTGATGGACTGTAAATAAACGATGAGGAAAGAAAAATGATGACTCAACATTTTAGTCTGACCAAGCTGGTAGATGACGATATTTTTTATAATTATTTGGATGGAGAACAACAGGTGCACTAGAGTTTGATGAAAGAGAAATCAGGAGCTCTGTTTTGGTGACATCAAGTTTGAAATGCCTATCAACATCTATAATGCCAAACAAGCAGTTAGGTGACATTCCTATTGCTAAATTCAATGGTCATTTCAATTGCTTAGTATCTTAGCAGCATTTAGCATTTAGCTAACCTCTCCATCCTTCTTTCTCTTGGCTCCCATGACATTATATTTTCCTGGATTTCCTCCTACCTCCCTGGCCACTGCTTCTGGGTCTACTTGACTGGCTTTGCCTCCTCTGCTTGACCTCTAAGGACTGAAAGTCTCCAGAGTTCTACCTGTTGCTTTTTTTTTCTTATATATCTAAACATTCTTCCCTAGGGAGTCTCATTCTAGTCCTTTGACATGCCATCTGTATGCCAGTAGTTCTGGCTATAGTTAGTCCAATGACAGTGAGGGACAATCAAGAGATTTAAAAAAACAGTCAATATCTACCTATGACCTGTCTCAATATAGTCATAGGCAATACTGATCCAGCAAAAGAGGAAAATAAAATCCTAGTCATGGTAAAACAGGAAGCAGCTCTAGATAGTCAGTATCTCAGCAGGGCCAAATAACCAGTCACTGACAGTTTGCATGTATTCAATGGACAGTCAGGAGAGAGTGCCAAGTCATCTCATAACCAATCATTACCTACAGAGTCTGGAGTCAGTACAAGTAAACCAAGGTGTCCAGGTATAGTCAATTTAATAATAGTGAAAGACAATCAGAAAACTCAGACCATCAGCATCAACCCATAAATAGCCTAGATATGGTCACAAACAAAGAAATCTAATAAAATAGGAAAATGAGGCTCTCACCACAAATACTCAAAAGAGAGTGTTAGATTCTCAGGACAGACGTCTATTTATGGATATTCTGGATATACACATGGAAAATCTGGACCCAATACAAGAAGACATGGATCCAGCCACAATCAATAAAAAGAGAGCTCTGGAAATTCATAATCTCATAATCATCACCTGTACAGTGTACGTATAGCATAAACAGACAGCAGAAATCTAAATTTACTCTGTCCAGTAATGAAGCATAGTTAGAAGACTGGGATACACAGCTATTCTTATGGTCAAGCTGTGTATAGGCATAGGCAATCTGGATCCAGCACACACACGCACACAATATATATAAATAAATAAATAAATAAATAAATAAATAAATAAAGAGATGGCTGTAGCCATGGACAGTCAAAAGATGGGCTAGAAACTCATCAGGAATGGACAACTATTCATAGGCAATCTAATTTTCCAAGAAGAATCTGTGTTCAACACAAGGAAAAGAAATTGGTTCACCATGGACAATCAAAAGGCAGCACTGGACCTTCAGGTCAATTCACAGGTGAGCACTATTAACATATTCTGGACCCAAAATAAGCAGATATCAAGGATAAAGTTATAATCAGGCCAGTGACCATAAAATTCAATCTGGAGACAAAGAGATATAATCAGAATCAACCCATGGGCAGTTGGTTAATAAGAGATATGTCTATAAACTCTAAATGCTAGGTCTTATCAGAGACAAACATCCACTCATGGTCAGTCTGAATCTACATATAAACAATCAGGATCCATCACTAGAAAAAGTCAGATAGATAGCCAATGAACAGATATGAGACAGCTCTAGACAATCCACGTCTTTTCGTAGCCAGACATAAATTCATGGACAGTTTTGGTCTAGTCATGGAGAGCAGTGATCAGTAAAACAGTAAGACACAGATTTACCTGTGAACACTTGGAAGACAACTCCAAATACTTAAGAGTCAGCTCATAAATAATCATTATCAGCAAAGTCTGGAACCAGTAAAAATAGATAAGAATCTAATTAGGCTGGTGAAGGACTGTCATGAGACTCAGATTAAGAATTAGCAATAGTTTATGAACAGTCTGAGTCAGTAGAAATGAGAGACAAGAATCAAGCCATAGATAGTCAAATGATAGCAGTAGACAGTCAGGTAAGATCCACATGGTCTGTTACCAATAGCAGAAAACAGGCATTCAGTTATAGTCAATCTAGTGATAGTGAATGACAATTGGGAAATAAGATAGACTGCCAACTTTTACCCATAGTCAGTCTGAGTATGGCCATAAGCAATCGTGATCAGCACAAGAGAAAGGCAGGATTCTAGCCATGGAAAGTTAGAATACAGCTCTAGACATTCAAGATGTCACTATGGCCAGAAAGCAATCCATGGACATTCTGAGTCCACTCAAGGAGAATATGGGTCTGGTATAACAGAATGACATGTATTTTATTATGGACAACCAGGAGATCATTCTAGATGTTCCAGATCTGCTCACAGACAATCTGCACCTACAAGGTCTGGCTCAAATATAAACAAACATTGAGTATCCAATGATTGTAGTGATAGTAATATCAGGAGACTTATAGAAAGTATCAACCCATGGACAGTCTGAGTATGATTACAGATAGTTGAGACACAGACAGTCAGAAGATAGTTCTAAACAGAGTATTATGAAGGACAGACACACACTGTGAATATTCATGGTCAGTCTGGACTTTGCATAGGTGGAAGACCATGAATTACTTATAGTCCATCAGTGGCCTATAATAATTATGGGACATCATCAAGTGAACTAACCTCCATATAACAAGAATTCCCAAAAGGGAAAAAAAGAGAAGGGTCTAGAAAACATATTTAAGGAAATAATGGCTGAAACTTTCCCAAATCTGGAGAAAGATAATGCTATCCAAGTACAAGATGCTCAGAAGTCACTAATCAAATTCAGTCCAAAGAGGAAATCCCCAAGACACATCATAATTAAATTAGCAAAAATTATAGACAAATCAAGAATACTCAAAGCAGCAAAAGAAAAGAAATATATCATATTCAAAGAAGCCCCAGTACAATTTTCAGGAGAATTCTCAGCAGAAACTCTGCAGACCAGGAGAGAACTGGATATGATATTCAAAGTGACAAAGGGGGAAAAAAAAACCACCAACCAAAAATAGCGTACCCAGCAAAGTTAGTCTTCAAACATGAAGAAGAGATAAAGAATTTCCAAAGAAACAAAAGCTGAGAGAATTTCTTAACAGCAGAACCGTCTTACAGAAAATGCTAAAAGAAGTTCTTAATGTGAAAGAAATGGATGCTAATGTACAAGAACACAAAAGTTATTAAACTCACTGCAAAAGAAAAAAACAAATTCAGAATATTCTAATACTGTAATTGAAGTAAGCAAATCACTTATATTTTAAGAATAAAGACTAAAAGACAAATCTATTAAAACAATAACTAAAACAATTGGTTAAGAGATAGGC